AAAAAAAAAAAAAAAAAAAGAAAAAGAAAAGAAAAGAAAACACACACACACACAACCACAAAACAAACAAAAAACAATCCATTATAACAATAAAAGGTATGCCATACTCTTAGTCATAGAAAGTAGTAGAATGACTTGGAGAATTTTCACACTCTGGTTAAGTCTTTTTTAAAATGTCTTTTTCTTAGCTCGTGTCCTGAAAAAAAGTTTCTAGTGTCAAATACATTTGGAAAACCATGAGTTCCATTCACTATTCACTGAATTGGCTCATTAATACTAAAACCAAATATTAAAATATCACATCCAATATGAACCAGTTCCCTTCAGCGACCTAATTCCTGTCCACTTGCCTGAATGACCACATCCCATGCTACTCCAGCTGCCCCTTACTCACTTCAGCCTCACTGAGTCCTTGGCGAGGCTGACCTACTCCATCTGACCCTCACTCACTCCAGCCATACTGGGTCCCTGGGCAAGGCTGACCTACTCCATCTGACCCTCACTCACCAGCCACACTGGGTCCCTGGGCAAGGCTGACCTACTCCATCTGACCCTCACTCGCCAGCCACACTGGGTCCTTGGGCAAGGCTGACCTACTCCAGCTGACCCTCACTCACCAGCCACACTGGGTCCCTGGGCAAGGCTGACCTACTCCAGCTGACCCTCACTCACAAGCCACACTGAGTCCTTGGCGAGGCTGACCTACTCCATCTGACCCTCACTCACTGCAGCCATACTGGGTCCCTGGGCAAGGCTGACCTACTCCAGCTGACCCTCACTCACTTCAGCCACGCTGGGCCCCTGGGCAAGGCTGACAGGCTATTGCTCAGGCCTTTGCATTTTTCTTCTCTCCCTTTATCCTCATCATGGCCACATCCTTTGGGAATTTCCTCAAATGTTGCCTTCTCTACAAGGCCTTCCCTGAATACTTCATGTACTTTTGAATGGCTCCTATCCAGTATGTCTTTCTCTCTTCCTGCTGCTTTTTCTCTGTGGCACCTGTCACCGTCTAATATATTATGGGCTACACTTATTTCCTTTCTTGTCTTTCTCCCTGGAGTACAAAGAAAGCTCCTCCATGTCTGTTCTTTACTACGGTATCTCCAGCACCTAGAATAGTGCCTGGTACATAATAGGCACTCATGAATATTGGCTGAATGAGTGAATAATAAAAGAAGTAGAATAGCTAGTAATTTTGAGCAACTCGTTAGCTAGTGTGCATGTATGTATATATGTATGTATATATATATATATATATGATTTTTACATTTTAGAAATATTTCATTATTTAAAGTCATTAGATTTCTTTTTGATAGTATTTTTGTTAAGCTGAAAAATAATAATTATGTTTAAATCATTGGGCTATAGCTCTCTTAACAATCAGTTTGTTTTCCATTTTATCCAAAATTAAGATGAACAAGAGAACATTAAAGTCAATTAAATAGAAGGGGAAATATAAAAGAAAAACCTTGTAAATAACTGGTGCTTTGTGTTTGGCAAAATGTTCAAACCTCAGTGATCTCAGAAAATTCTTCATATACATGTATGCCACAGTCCTTTGTTGAGATGACTAATAAAAACTTGTTATACATGTATAATATATTACTATTTATAGGTATGTGTTTCTAATTTTTTTAGGTTGCAACAGCAAATCTTGCCTGGGCTTCAGTAGCAATACATCAGGTGCAGGTGAGTCTTTGGAGTGTTTTTGCAGGGGCTTCCTAAGAGAGAAGAGTTTTTTAAAGTGTAGTATTGTGGTTTGCCATGTATGTACCTATGCAAAAATCTTGCATGTTCTTCACATGTACCCCAAAACCTAAAATGCAATAAAATGTATATTAAAAAAAAGTAAAGTGTAGCATTGAAGACTGAAGTCAAGGTTAAGTCACCAAAAGCCTTATTTTGGGATATTAGAATTTTCCATTGTTCCTGGAAATTTTAATTTAATCATTTATATCTGCTTACTCCCACCTTATTTTGCAATTATATGTGTGTGTATTCAGATACATATATATCTATATATAAAATACACACATGCACAATTTATGCAATAAATGGCATATGTCCTACTATAATACTTTCTACTGAAAACCTAGGAACAATCTCCTACTGGAGTTGCATTGATATATTTATGATTCCGTTTCCTAAATTAAATTTTCCTCTAAGTAGTCTGTGAAACATACTAACTTTAAGATATCTGGTTCTCTTGAAGGTATTTAAAAATCACCAACTACTTAGAGTTTTACTGGTGGTTAGACTTTAAAGTTCAAGAACATAGTAGCAATGTGGCATTGTTAGGTATTTTCTCCCTCTCTCAATTTTTAGCGGTGGTTTTATTTTTCTACTTCTGTTTCAGCAAATTGAGGTTGATAAGGGAGGAACTGTATGCAAGGAAGAAAAATCAAGCTGTAGGATAAAGGAGTAGAAAAGACTCTTGAATTATCAAATATAGGTGGAATATATGCTCACCTACAATTTTTAAAAGGACAGTGTAAAGGAGTTCTAAAGAGGGACTTGAGTAGACTCCCTGGAGCTGAGCGCTGCTTCTGTCCCTTATTACGTCTCCAGCCTCAGCATGTTCTTAACATCTTTATGACTCCAGTACGAAATATAAATTCCAAACCTGTAATGTTTTGTGGTGACTGAGACAATAAATATACTTAGAACAACGTTTAGCACATTTAAGTATTCAGTAAATAGTAATGGTTGTTGGTATTATTATTACATTATAATGCATGTGATTGTGTTAGGCCTTCTTTCAATAAATAAATAGTATTCTGGAAGTTTTATTTTTGAATAAGCAGAATTCTTTTATAATTGTAGCTTTTATTTTATATGGTAGGTATGCAGAGGCCTTGCCAAACAGACTGAATTGAATGACTTTCTACTCGATGTATCAAAGTAAGTGTTCATTTCTTGTTATGTCGTAGTTCTTGGTTATCAGCGGTTTAAATTAAGTGCAGCCTGTGGCAGAAATATACTACTGTCTGTTGCAGCTGGTAATTGAAGATCCATCTTTACAAGTAGTCTGGGAAGTACGGATAATCATATTATGGACTGTAGAGCTATATTCCCACTTACGTTCACTCTAAAGTGAAGGGTTGCAGATATATACGTGATGATCTTAATTTTCAGTTTGATGTTTATTGTCTAAATAGACTCTCTTAGAACATGTTAAAGACACTGAATATATCTATTTTTGCAGGAGAATAATGGCTACAGTAGAAGAAAAAATGCTCTGTTTTGTTTTTTTCCCCAAAAAGTCCTATTTGGTTTGTCTAACAATGTCCGTAAATTAAACATTATTAATATTATTATTTAAATTTTCCCATATATAGTATTTCAGTTATCATTTCTGATAAAATGTTCCATTTCCCTGGTTTGACCTAGAAAAACTCTTTGGCTGGTAGTGGAAGCACTTATGTAATAGGCATTTATTAAATCACATATTTTTATTGGTTTTATTTATCACAGGGGATATTTTCTATATATTTGACCCATATAATTAATCACTGAAATCTAAAATATGCCCCAGGATGTGGTAACTTTAGGGTCATGACCTACAAGCTTACTAAAGGAGGAATGTACTTTGTTCCTCTGTGGCCTCCGGCACTAACTATGGCGTGTTATGTTTCATATCACTGTATATGCACTTAATAATTGACTCATCAGTAATTATTGTTGAGCCTCATTAATTAGTTTGAAGTTACTAGTTTATGTTACATGTCTTTTTTGAAATAACACAATTAAAGAAGCATGGGACTGCAAAAGCCCCCCTCAGTTACCTCAGCCAACTAAGTAGAGCGTTACCTAGACAGTAGAGTCTATCTTAAGAGTTCTTCTTTACATTTTCTGTATGTTACATGCCTATTGATTTATCTTTTTTCAGGTTTACATTTTAGTATATGTACTATTTGTCTTTGAAACATTTACTTGCTGTTTTTAATAATGAATATATATTCATATAAAGTCACTAGATCCATAACATTACTTGTAATCTGACATTTCTGCTCAAATGATTTATGTTACTTTCTTAGTACACTTAAGCTAAATATTAACTTTCTCCAGTTTTTCAGCAATAATTTATATATAACTATTGAGATTTAGCACATTTAAATATTTTTATTGTAGATCAGAGTTATTAATAAAATATTAAATACGGTGAATGCAATTTTATTTCTGCATACTTTTTAAATGCAATAAACTTTCTCTCTACACTGATACCTATCAGTAAAATAAATACTGATTGCATTCTCTGGAATTAGAATTCTCATGCTAAGGTCAATAATAAAGTTTTATTTGTCTCTTTAAAATAATATTACTATACTAATTAAAAAATATTTTTATATATCTTTATGTTTTTTATTTGAATGTAGACAAAACCAGGAAATGCATTTAAAGTTTAATATGTACTGTGATCTAATAAAATTACTTACAGGATTTATGTTTTTTTTTTTTCCAGAACATATTTTGATAACATAGTTGCAATAGATTCTCTACTTGAACACATAATGGTAGGTTGTTTTTGTTCTGAATATGATTTTATTTAACTCTTAGGCCCATGGTGCTAATATGTGACAGAACATTTAAACTTACTCCTTCACAGGCACTTTTAAGTATTATGCAAATGTGGTGCTTAGGAATTCACCTTGATCTCTTTGTCACTTCTGTTCATTTTGGTGGAGTAAGTTTGAATAACATTTTTAAAAATCTCCAAACTTTTCTTTATTGATGGAGAGCTATACTTAGACAAGACATTGGTTTCTTTTTATGTTCTTCAAAACACCTCTTATATATGGGATATGTTAGGAATTCTCAAATGATTTTTTTTTTTTACTGATCTTCAAGTTCATTCTACTTATTTCTAGTCTTAATTATGCTTTTCTCCTAGATGTTCTCAGGCATTTGTGAGCCAAAAGGTGTATGACGTCGAGTTACAGGCATATTTCCCTATGCTACTCTCTTAGGTCTCTAGTGAGACTTCATTCGGAAGTGACTTCTAGTTGTCAAAATGTGTGGGTGTATGTCATGGATGCCCAGGCTTTCTTGGTACTATTCATGTTCTGTTATGTGCTTTAATAAATGTTATTTCTTCTCCTCATTTTTCTGGTCCATCTCAAAATACAGTACTCTTCTGCAGTAAGGAGTGCCCTCATCTAGAGATTTTATGATGCATAGTGATAGATTTTTTTATTTGACATAGTAAAAGACAAGTATGAATTGTGCTTTGTGCAGTGTCTTGTAGAGACAGAAAGTTTACCAAGGGTAATTGGAGAATAACGCAAGTAATTAACTTCAGCACACTCGTTGTGTGATAAATTATTTCTATGTTTTTATCTAGATAAAAATAGAATAATTTTACATTAAAATAACTTTTCTCTTGTTATGAAACAACTGAAGGAATTTGTAAAGCAATGAATAGCTTTAAGAAAAATACAAAGTTAAAATGTAGACTGACACTGAGCTTATACTAGGGGTACAAGAAGCAATTATTGATCGTTCCTTGTATTGTTAATATTTTTAAAAACAGCTTTATTGAAATGTAATTTACATACTATACAGTTCATACATTTAAGGTGTTCAGTGGTTTTTAGTATATTCATGGATATGTGCAACTATCATCAGTCAAACTTAGAACACTTTCATTACTTCATAAAGTAACTTGATAGCTGTCACCTCCTTAGCTTATCACTTCCTTATTCCTCTATTTCCCCTTGCCTCATCAGCCTTAAGCAACCATTGTCTGCTTTCTTTCTCCATGGGTTTGCCAATTCTGGGCATTTTATACAAAAAGAATCACAAAATATGTGGCGTTTTGTGCCTTGCTTCTTTCACCTAGCATAATATTTTCAAAGTTCATACATATTGTACATATGTCAGTTCCTCATTTCTTTTTATGACCAAATAATATTCCATTTTATGGATATATATACCACATTAAAAAAATCAGTTTATCAGTTGATAGACATTTGGGTTGTTTCCACATTTTAGCTCTTGTAAATAGTGCTGCTGTGAATGTTCCTCTACAAGTTTTTGTTTGAATGCCTGTTTTCCATTGTTCAGGGTATATTCATAGGAGTGGAATTGCTGGGTAATGTAGTAGTTCTATGTTTAACTTTTTGAGGAACTCCCAGACTTTCCATGGCAGTTGCACTACTTTTCATTCCCAACAGTTGTGCACAAGAGTTCTGATTTCTCCACATCTTCACCAACACTGGTTATTATCTGACTTTTTCATTATAGTGGGTATAAACTGCTAGCTTAGTGTGGTTTTGATTAGTATTTCTCTAGTGACTAATGATGCTGAGCATTTTTTCATGTGCTTATTGGCCATGTGTATATTGCCTTAGGAGAGATATCTATTCAGAGCCATTGACCATGTTTTAATGGAATTCTTTGTATTTTTGTTATTGACTTGTTAAGAGTTCTTCATATAGTCTAGATATAACTTTGTCTCATAATTGCTTTGCTAATATTTTCTCCCATTTTGATAGGTTGTCTTTTCACTTTCTTGATAGTATTTTTTGAGGCACAAAAGATTTTAATTTTGATGAAATCCAATTTAGCTATTTTTTTCTTTTGTTCTTTATGCTTTTGTTTTATATCTGAGCCAAATCAGAGATCATAAGAATTTACTTAGATACTTTTGCCTAAGAGTTTTATGGCTTTTAACTCTTACATTTAGGTTTTTTATCTGTTTTGAGTTAGTTTTTGTATATGCTGTTTGGCAAAGGTCTAGTTTCATTCCTTTTCAGGTAGCTATCAAGTTTTTTCCCAGCACATCAGTTGAATATAAAATATGGTTCTATATCTGAATTCTCAGTGCTATTCTGTTGCTCTGTATGTCTTTGGTAATGCCAGTACACTTTATTGATTACTGTGGTTTTATAGTAAGTTCTGAAATTAGGAAGTGTGAGTTCCTTAAAGATTCTTTTAGCTCTTCTGGGTACCTAACAAATACATTTAAATTGTATAAGTAGCAGGTCAATTTCTACAAAGAAATCAGGTGAGATGCTTATAGGAATTATGTTGAATCTGTAGAGCAATTTGAAATTATTGCCATCTTAACAACTGGAAGAAAATTAAGTCTTCTAATACATGAACATTTTTCCATTTATCTAGATCTTAATTTTTTTCAACAATGTTTTATGATTTTTGAGAATAAGTATTGCTTTCATTTTGGCCAATTTATTACTAAGTATTTTTTTAATGCTATTATAAATGGAATTTGTTTTCTTAATTTTAATTTTTGATTTTATACTGCAAATATGTAGAAACAATATTGGTTTTTTTATACATTGATTATGTATCCTGCAAACTTGATGAACTCATATGTTAGTTCCAATAGTTTCTTAGTGGATTACACATACACATATATATAGATATATTTACACACATGCAAATACACACACATACATATATACACACACAGATACACACACACACATATACATATATGATCATGTCTTCTATAATTAGAGATAGTTTTACTCCCTACTTTCCAATCCAAATGTGTTTTATTTCTTTTTCTGGCTTGATTGTCCTGGCTAGAACCTACAGCACAATACTGAAAAGAAGTCTAAGTGTGGACATTCTTATCTTGTTCCTGATATCAAGGGAGAAACATTTAGTCTTTTGCCATTAAGTATAATGTTATTTGTGGGTTTTTCATAGATGGCCTTTATCATGTTGAGGAAATTCCCTTTTGTTCCTACTTTTTAAAGTGTTTTTATCATGCAAATGTGTTACATTTTGTCAAACAATTTTTGTGCATCAGTGTAGATGATCATATGGTTTTTATTTTTAATTCTATTGATAGTGTCTATTACATCAATTGAATGTCAGATGTTAAACTAACCTTGCATTCCTGTGATGAATTTCCATTCATTATGGTGCATAATTTATATTGGAATTGCCTTAAATTTATAGAAAACTTGAATTGATACCTTCAGCATATGGCATCTTCCTATCCAAAGACAGTTTCTTATTTTCAGTTTTTTAAAAATTACTCTCCATTCAAAAGTGGGCAAAAGATGTGAATAGACACTTTTCAAACGAAGACGTTTATGAGGCCAACAAACATATGAAAAAATGCTCATCATCACTGGTCATTAGAGAAATGTAAATCAAAACCACATCGAGATACCATCTCATGCCAGTTAGAATGGTGATCATTAAAAAATCTGGAGACAACAGATGCTGAAGAGGATGTGGAGAAATAGGAACACTTTTACATTGTTGGTGGGAGTGTAAATTAGTTCAACCATTGTGGAAGGCAGTGTGGTGATTCCTTAAGGATCTAGAAATAGAAATTCCATTTGACCCAGCAATTCCATTACTGGGCATATACCAAAAGGATTATAAACCATTCTATTATAAAGACACATGCACACTTGTATTCATTGCAGCACAGTTTACAATAGCAGGGACCTGGGACCAACCCAAATGCCCATTAATGATAGACTAGACAAAGAAAATGTGGCACATATACACCGTGGAATACTATGCAGACATAAAAAAGGATGAGTTCATATCCTTTGTAGGGATATGGATGAATCTGGAAACCATTCTTAGCAAACTGACACAAGAGCAGAAAACCAAACAGCGTATTCTCACTCATAAGTGGGTGTTGGACAATGAGAACACATGGGCACAGGGAGAGGAACATCACACACAGGAGTGTGTTGAGGGCTGGGGAACTAGGGGGAGGACAGTGGGGGGTGGGGAGATTGGAGAGGGATGATGTTGTGAGAATTGCCTGGTGTAGGTGATGGGGGGATGGAGACAGCAAACCACCATGGCATGTATGTACCTATGCAATAATCCTGCAAGATCTGCACATGTACCCCAGAACTTAAAGTATAATTTAAAAAAAAAATCTCTCTTGACTGAATGTATTGAGCATGGGTCCCCCATAGTTAACTTATTGTTCCAGTTTTCAAGACAGTGTTTAGTTTTCAAGATAAACAGTGTTTATAGTGTTTAGTTTTCAAGATAAACAGTGATTTATAATTCACAATAGTAGTGGTTCTATTGGTTCTTTTTTTCCAGTTTTTATAATACTTATTTCTTTGTTTGTTAATGTATTAGCTAGAACCTAATGAACACTGTTGAATGGAAGCAACAGATATCAAAAAGAGGATATATTTATTTTTCTTGATGTATGTACTTCTCACATTTCATTGTTAAATATATTTGTTGTGAGTCCACAGCAGATATAATTTATGAATTTTAAAACACTTCCTTCTATTCCTAATTTTCTGTGAGTTTGCATCTGATTTGGTGTTGGTTATTATCACATTTTTGTAAGCTATTTAAAAATGATCAGAGTAGACAATTATATTGTTACTCAATGTTGAAGGACTCTTACATTTTTGCTATAAAGGCTATTTAATAGTAATGTTTTCTTTTTTCCTGGATTGGTCCTTAATATTTATTTCCAAGTTTTGCATCTATTTTCATATATCAAATTGCTCAGTGGTTCTTTTTGTCTATCCTTGGGTGGTATTGGTAT